GATTGCAGGGGGCTGTGGGTCAGGATGGAGGGGCACTGGCAGAGCTGGAGTGGGGGGATTTCCGCCCAGGGCTGGGATTGCAGGGGGCTGTGGGTCGGGACTGAGGGGCATCAGCTGCATGGACTGACTTCAATGGAACCCTCCTGAACTGTGCGGTTCTCAGCTGGTGCTATGTACTCCGTCGATTTCAAGGAGCACTAAATTCACCTCCCAGATGTACAGAACTAAAACGCAGGTGAAAAGCCCCTGAGCGCGGGGGGGGGGGGGGGAGGGAGCAGCATTGCACCCTGTAACGAGGACAGCCGGCACATAGGGTGAGACGTGGGCAGACATTCACAGCAAGCGCCGTTACCTTCCTTAATGACCTGCACAATCCTCATGGTGAAGTAATTGTACATCCCGTTCTGCTCCACCTTCACCAGCTGAGCTTTATAGACTGGGGGAGAAGATGGGAGTCAGAGATCTGTTAAAGCCCGAAGGGGCCATCGTGACCGTCTAGGCTGCTCTACAGAATACAGGCCAGACACCATGGTGACGGGGGTGCCTGCAGGGGACTGGACTTGATGACCCAGAGGGTCCCTTCCAGAACTGTGTCTTATGGGACAAGAACTTATATAGAATAGAATCAAATCCCACCCATTGGGGCAAAGGGACCACACCAGTCATCATCTAGAATCCCACTTCACTTGCTCAGTGCTTGGCTGCTTCCTAGATCAGTGGGGGCGTGGGATGTAGGGTCCTACATCAATGGGTCTCAGGTGGGGGTGGGAATGGGCTTGACCCAGGTTTTCTTGCTGTGTAAAACGTCTGGGGGAAGATGTATGATGAATTCAGACTCTTTTTCCCCCCACCGGAGACCTCTGTGGTTGCCCGGAGAGCAGATCTCCCAGGCATGGCTGTCCTCAGTCTAACTGGGAAGCGGGAGTGGGTTTTATTCAGACTGTTTAAAACTCAGTGGATTTTAAATATTTAACTCAAATGGCTGAGCAACAGGTGGGAAAAAAACACTCATTAAAAAAGTTCAGCCACCCATTTCAGATAAATAATTGTACCTAGTTCTTATCATCAGTAAATCTCAAATTAGGTCAGTATCGTTATCCCCATTTTATAATTGGGGAAACTGAGGCACAGAAGGGATACGACCTGCCCAAGGTCACCCAGCAGGCCAGAGGCAGTAATAGATCCCAGCTCTGCTGAGTCCAAGCTCAGAGCCCCCAACTCTGTATCAGCCAAGGAACGTGGTAGAGTTCACACATACCCCGTTATCTGGCCTGCTTCTTCTCTGCTGCCGCTACGCTCATTGCAATGATCTCTGCCCGGATCAGGAGTTCATTGCCTCTGGGATCACTGGCAGATCTCACCCCGCCACCCCCCAGCTTTGGCCCTCCCCTGGACAACAGCCGATCAGGAGAAATGAAACCAGAACATAGGTCCTGTTTTACCATAATCCACCCCAGCCTCGCACGCGGCTTCGATGCGAACGGAGATGTCAGCGGGGGGCTGTTTAAATTTCTTGATCAGGCTGCATTTCTCTGGGGACAGAAGCAGACGATCCTAGTGAAGTGGCAGGTTTACAGCCCCTTTCGCACCAGGCTTTCGATGTCCTTTACGGACATGAATGAATTCAGCTTCACAGCCCCCCTGGGTGATGGGTGGGTGTCACCCTCATTGCCCAGACAAGGAAGCTGTGGCATAAACAGGGCAATGAGTTTGCCCTAGGTCACATGATGAATCAATGGCAGAGGTGGGAATAGAACCCAGGAGTCCTGACGCCCAGCCCTCCACTGCTCTGACCACTAGTCCCCGCTCGCTTCCCAGAGCAGGGAATAGAACCCCGGAGTCCTGACGCCCCCTCCATGTGGAAAGGTCCCAGAGGCAGCCAGAGATCAGGGCCTGGCCAAGGAGGAGAGGTCGCTTTGCATGTTATCTGTGCGAAGGTAGGAGCTGGAAGCATCCACAGATTCTCCCCACCAGAGAACCACAGAGGGAGCGTTCTAGGAGCGCAATCTGGACCCAGATCCCCCAAGCTTGCTCCATGCCGAGGGCTGCTGATCCCTGAGCTGCCACGGGCCGGCACCTGGCAGGGCTAGCGCATTGGCGCTGCATACCCTGTGCTCTCACTGGCCCAAGTCCACCAGGTCAGTTGCAGTTCCAGCCTGTAGCATAGAAGCCAGTGAAGGGACAGAGCAGAGAAATTTTCCCCTCCCTTCGGTCTCCCTTTACCTTCCATGCAACGGCAGGCGTCTCCCTCACACAGCACCTTCAGCAAGCCGCTGTCTTGGGTTGGGTGGTAAAATTTTGTGCAGCGGTTTTCTGAGAGAGAGAAAAGGTTTGTTACTAGGTGTATAATGGTAACACCTAGAGTCAGCATCCCCATTGTGCACAGCCACACAGTGAGAGACAGACCCCTGTGATCAGGGCCCCCTGGTGCCGGATGCTGCACAAACAGTGAGAGACAGTCCCTGCCCCAAAGGGCTATGAGTTAAGGACGGGTTATTCTGTCTGGAAAATCTGGCTTCAATTCCCTGGGGAATCTCTTTGTGTACTTTAGGATTTTATCCAGCTGCCTGTCACCATAGTATCTAGGCATCTTCCATGTAAAATCACTAGCGAAGTCCTTTGTGAACTGAATGGAGTCTCTGGCTCTTCTCCCTTTATGGAGCTAAAACTCAGCTGGGGAAGGGGTTTGTGGTTTGATTTTATTTTTGAACGTTTATTTCTGTGGCCCATCCTGTACTGCCCCCTCCTGGCCTAGTGTGGCACTGCAAGCACAGTCCGCTTCAGTTTCCCTTTAGAATACCACACACTGCAAAAATGTATATGTCCAAATTCCCCTGTCAGGGTTCTTCTTCACTAAATACAAATAACATTGAATTAAAGGCTTTCCCCTTAGGATCAGGGGGGTTGCACAGCCACCTGCCTCTATGGGGCCTGCATTTCTCCCGGAGCACCTCACCCTTAAGAGAGCTTCTCTCTCAGCACCGCCACCTAATGATGGGCTTTTATCATGCCCAGGTGCTCGTTAGTCAATTAACTACCCAGGTGGGCTCATTCCCCTTAAATTAGCTCCTCACAGGTCTGGATGCTTTGGTTTAAAGAGGCCAGCAAACTGGTGATCATTTCTTTTTGGGGAGGGGGCGGGGTGGAGGTGTTATTCTTATGGTGGAAAGGCTTTTTCCAGAAAGGAAACTGAGGCATAGAGCAATGAAGTGACTTGTCCAAGGTCACCCAGGGAATCAGTGGCAAAGGAACCCAGGAGTCCTGACTCCCAGCCCCCACTGCTCTAACCAGAGCTGGGAACAGAACCCAAGTCCCAGCCACAAGACTCTGAAGGCAGCTCAAGAGAAGAGCTATCAGTGTAGCTGAGCACCTCGTGAGCTTTACAGCTGTTTTTGGGACAGAGCTATTATCCCTATGTTATGAATGGGGAAACTGAGTCACAGAGCGACAAGGTCAAAAGCAGAGCTGGGGAATTAAATCCAGATCTCCTGCCTCACAGGCTAGTGCCCTAGGCACCGCACTGTCTTGCCTTCCTGAAGAGCTAGTGGGGTGATAAGGATCAAGCCTGTCCTGATTCGGTAAAGCGCTACACCAGGGCTCTGTCTGACTGTTCGCTGGGGCCAGCGTGCTGAGACGAGTGAGTGATGAATGCTCTAACCCAGGGAGTAGTACTCGTACACCGTCACGGCTGCCGGCTGGATCAGACCCACTTCGAAGTGCTGATGAGCTTTAAACTTCAGACAATCTGTCTCTTTGCTGGACACCTAGGGAGGAAGAGAAAGGCCCTTAGGAGCTGGAATGGCCCAGTCATTGCAGGCAGGAGAGAGCACCAATAAGGGGGCAAAGGGCCCGATTCCCAGTTACTCCACTCTGCACTTGGCACAGGGGGCCTAAGGGGGTGGCAGGGGCTTTAAACGCCACCCCCCTTTGTGCTCCCCATCTCGTGTGACTGTGCAGGGCCCCAGTATAAATTAGAGCCGCTTCAGGGCTGCTCTGACTAGCGAATAGCCGCAGCACAGTGTGTTCATTCATAGAATCATAGACTATCGGGGTTGGAAGGGACCTCCGGAGGTCATCTTCTGGCCAGGTGCCTGATCTGCCCCCTACGCTGGGAACTGGGAGCACGGTGGATGCTGGATCCTTACGCAGTTTGGGGCGACCCCCCTCCCCAAATTAGAGGGAACATTGCCCCCCACCCACAATCAGGGGCTTCTGGGAGCCACCCAAATAGAAATATGGGTCACACTTTGTAATCGGAGCCTTGGTCTGAAGGGTTAATGCATGGTGAATGGAGGCTGTCCCCATGTCAGCCAGGAGCAGGATGTGCCGCAGACAGCTATCAGCAGAAGGTGTCTAGGCTGTGTCTACACAGCAATTGGGAGGTGTCATCCCCAGCTTGGGTAGATGCACGTGTGAGCTAGTGCCTGAAAACAGAAGCATCATAAGCATGATCGCAGCCTCACGAGTGACAGCAGCTCAGGCTGGTTGCCCAACTAAAGTCTGGTCTGAGATCCGAGGGTGGCTAGGGTCTGAGATCCGAGGATGGCTAGGGTCTGAGATCCGAGGATGGCTAGCCGCTGCAGTCACACTGCCATCTTTAGCGCACTAGCTCGCGCGGAACTAGCATGCATCGGTCTACCCGAGCTGGGAATCACACCTTCAGCTGCAGTGTAGACGTACCCAGAGATGGGTTAAGAAACCTACTGATCTGCTGGGCTCCATAACAATTGATTGGCCATTTATCAGTCGCTCTCAAGCATTTATTAATCCATTATCAGTCGGACCTTAATATTAAGTGTGACTGAAAGAGACAGAGAGAAAGGTGGGGAAAGAAAGAAAGAAGCGGGGGATGGCCAAGCCGTACCTTGTCTAGATAGAGGATGAGGGAGCCTCTCTCAGACAGGTCCGTGTCCAGTTCAAACCTGGAGATGTATTTGTCCACACGGTTCGTGAGCTGGCCATGGAAACCAAACGGATCAGCCAGTAGAATCCGCAAGCTGGATGGTGCCCACTTCAGCCCCCATCTCTGCCAAAGCTTTGGGGGTGCCCAGCTCTGCCCCTCCTGGCTTCGTACCCCCTTCCCCACCCCCTACTATCTGCTTCTTGCTCTCCACTCTGATCCCATGAACAAGGCTTGGCCGACTGACATCCCCAGGATCTGATTCCTCTTGTGACACCTGGTCAGGGCATCGACAGTGTGAGTTCTCTTGAGCTTCTCACCCTCTCTGGAAGTGGTTCAACCCTGCCTGGGAGGGACCCTGCATTAGGAACGAGAGGGGAGCACCATCTCCTTGGCCCGTCCGACACAGGGGCTGCCAACGAGGGGGCTGGTTCGTGCCAATGACACACTGACATTCCTGTCCCGCTAGGAACCAGGCTGAGAACCCACCAAACAGCCACCAGCTGAGAACAGCTACTGCTGCCCCAAGCTGGGTCGGAGTCTGTGACCGAGGGTGACCAAGAGGTGAAAGGCACCAAGCCCGTTTCCTGACCCAGCCAGCATCAGGAGGTTGTGATGCCCTTCCCAGATGGCTAAGTTTGTGTGTGTGTGATCCTGGCATGGAAGAGTTTAACCCCCCTGCCTGAACCACCACCACCGCCACCACTCTTAGGTTGGTCCCAGGGGAGCAGTCGACTCCCCGCACGTTGAGGGGGTGGGGCTCACCTTATCCAAGTCGTCCATGTCTGGAGAGAAGCCTGTGGGCATGGAGACGTCCAGGATGGTCATGGTGGAGTCCACCCCTCCCAGGAACCTGGAGGACGCAGAGAGGATTTGGCTAGGAAAACACTCGCCAGGCAATGAAGCGGATCCCTCTATGGAGGCCACTGGCACTGACCAGTGGACGCTGGCTGGACGAAGCCACCGGGGAGGCCGCTAGCCCAGCAGGCTGTCTCCACAGCCCTTCCTGGCTGCCGTGGGAGAGGGGAGGCATGGGTCCCGAGTAGCACAAATTTGGGCGTCGATGGCTGCTAGACAGACCTCCGTGGGGAGCGGCGGGGGGTGGGGAAAGCAGATCCTGGAGGCCACCCCCCCAAAAAATACCCCCCTGGGGGGCTGTGGAGGGTGTCGTACCCCCTTTAGGGGGCAATCTAGAGCTTGTACCCAAAACAGCCGGGGTACAGTCAAGGAGATCAGCCGGCCTGGCGGTGGGCACTATATCCAGGAAAAGAAAGCTGAATGGGGCTGGGGGAGAGGGTGGGCCTGGAAATCACGCTGGCTGCTGCAGGTTGCAGGCCCCAGGGCCCAGATCCTCCAAGGCATTTAGGTGCCTAACTCCCATTGGTTATCATTGCTACAGGGACACTAACCACTAGAGCAGGGGTCTCAAACTTCATTGCATCGCGACCCCCTTCGGACAAGAAAAGTGACTACACGACCCCAGGAGGGGGGACTGAAGCCTGAGTCTGCCTGAGCCCCACACCCAGCATGGGGGGCCAAAGCCTGAGCCACACCGCCCAGGGCTTCAGCCCCAGACCCCAGCAAGTCTAATGCCAGCCCTGGCGACCCCATTAAAGTGGGGCCGCGACCTACCGCTTGAGAACCGCTGCACTAAACGGAGACGTGGACGCACGCCTCAAGCCAGGATCTGACACACTCTCTGCCTGTCATAACTATAAAGGGAAGGGTAACAGCTCTCCTGTGGACAGTACTATAAAATCCCTCCTGGCCAGAGACTCCAAAATCCTTTTACCTGTAAAGGGTTAAGAAGCTCAGGTAACCTGGCAGACACCTGACCCAAAGGACCAATAAGGGGACAAGATACTTTCAAATCTTGGGGGGGAGGTTTTTGTTTGTGCTCTTTGTTTTGGTTGTTGTTCGCTCTTGGGACTGAGAGGGACCAGACATCAATCCAGGTTCTCCCCATCTTTCTAAACAAGTCTCTCATATTTCAAACTTGTAAGTAAACAGCCAGGCAAGGCGTCTTAGTTTTCCTTTGTTTTCTCAACTTGTAAATGTACCTTTTACTAGAGTGTTTATCTTTGTTTGCCGTACTTTGAACCTGAGACTAGAGGGGGTCCTCTGAGCTCTTTAAGTTTGATTACCCTGTAAAGTTATTTTCCATCCTGATTTTACAGAGATGATTTTTACCTTTTTCTTTAATTAAAAGCCTTCTTTTTAAGAACCTGATTAATTTTTCCTTGTTTTTAGATCCAAGGGGGTTGGATCTGTATTCACCAGGAGTTGGTGAAAGGAAGGAGGGGGGGATGGTTAATTTCTCCTTGTTTTAAGATCCAAGGGGTTTGGATCTGTATTCACCAGGGAATTGGTGAAGGTCTCTTGAGGCTACCCAGGGAAGGGAATTAGCTTTGGGATGGTGGCAGCGGACCAGATCTAAGCTGGTAGTTAAGCTTAGAAGTCTTCATGCAGGCCCCCACATTTGTACCCTAAAGTTCAAAGTGGGGAAGCAACCTTGACACCGCCATTCTAGGGTGGGGAGAGACGGCCGGGGGCCCCGGTGCAGCTCCCACCTGGTCTGACTCACCGCATGCAGATCTGGATGAACACAGAGTCCAGGGCTCCTTCTGGCTTCTTGGCTGCAAAGACCCATCAGCACAGCAGGGGGGTCACATTCCTGTCTCATCAATGGTGTGTCCCCCCCGAGCATTTAAAAATGGTTCCGGAAAGGAAATGCACCAGGATCGTCCCAAATTTATTCCGAGGGGAGGACTCCCCGCTCCTCAGAGATTCCCCCACCCCACTTACAGACACAGTCACACAAGATGGGTACCAAACTATCCCAGCCTGTTCTACACTGGTCCTTATCCTGCTCCCATCACCGCAGTGTCTGGGCGCCTTCCAGTCGCTCATTTAAGCGACGGGATTCTCATCTGTCCTGTGTGGTTCCTTGTCTCTCTTTCAGTGCCTCTTTGTCCTTGTATCTCCTCTGGGAAGTGCTTGGGGCCAGACAGTTAAAGGTACGTCGGTGTCTAACTCTCATTGATTTCAATAGGACGTAGGAGCCTAAATACCTTTAAATATCTGTCCCTTTGAGAGCCACTGATGAAAAGCACTAGATCAGAGACAGGGCTTCTCCTCTCTCTCCAAAGTATTTTTCCGGGCCCCATCGCCCTAGTATCTGAGCACCTCACAGTCTGTCCTCGTTGTGGGGGAGGGAAGTCCCATTTCCCCCCCATTTCCAGATAGGGAAACTGAGGCACCGAGGGACTAAATGACCGGCCCAAGGTCTGACAGGAATCTGTGGCAGAGCAGAATTGAACCGCGGGTTCTTGACTGTTCGCCTTCCTCTGTATGCCGCTCTAACACATCCCCTCAGTTCCTCCCTTCTTGTAAACAGCCCTAATCTTTTCGATCTCTGATATCGTTTTCCAGGGAAGTGTCAATTGTGACGAGTTTGTTTGCCAAGTGTGGCTGCTTCCTTCACGGGAAGAAAAAGGATCTAGTGGTTACTGGCATGCAAATCAGGAGCCCTAGGGTCTAGTAGTCCCAGCTCTGGGAGAGGGGTGTGGTCTAATGGTTAGAGCAGGGGGGGCTAGAAATCAAAACTCCTAGGTTCTAGCCTTGCCTCTGGGAGGGGAATGGGGTTTAACGATCTAGGTGGGGAATGGGAGCCAGGGGTCTATACCCCACCATGCTGCGGAGTGACCTGTGCCTTAGTTTCCCCATCTCTGAAGTGGCTAATGCTTCCCCCACCGCACTGGGGCGTAGTTAGGTTCTGAGATCAAAGCCTGTAGAGGAAGCAATTTTTCTTTCAGTGGGGAAATTCATCCACACCCCAACCTGCTTCCCCAGCCCCTTGCGGCTCCTGGCTAATCATGAGCCAAGGGGACCATTTCTGGGAGAACCCCGTGCTCAAACGTTGCCTGTGCACCCCTGCTCCAAGCAAGCCCCCTGGAACCCGGTTCTGAAACAGCCTCATGCTGTCGGATTGAACTGATGAACGATAATGCCACTGTTATACAATTGCAACAAGTCTTATCAAAGCGTGTCATGGAAAAGTGATGATTTGCTAAGTAGGATCGTCCTGTTTATATGCATATATCAGCTGTGTACCTGAAGTTATGACTATTGCCCAGGGACTTGTATTTTACACCTGTGCTGTATTCCCGGGTAACACCCATCAGATAAGATTTACATCAAGGCTAGACAGCTGTGGGGTGATGGCCCATTAAGGACACTTCACTCTAACAATGGGCCACAGGCAATGGCTGCCCCTGTGAATGATCAAACTTCCCAAGGAGGGGTGATATGCCCATGTGACCCGGACTCCATCTCAGGCCAGTAACTTTGCCCAAACAGAGACTGTACGGCCCCAGGCACATGGCAGAGGATATAAAAGACCCCTGAGATGGCTTCATTTTGCCACTTTCCTGCCCTGATTCTCTGGCCTGTGGATTTACAATTAGAAGGAGCATTTTGAACTATGGACTGAGGACCTTCCAGTCTTTTGGAAGTTCCCAGAGAGACTTTACAAGCTAGCCGTCTATTCCATCGTTGCTACAGGACTTTGCAATTATTTGTAGGTACACCTCTACCTCGCTATAACGCTGTCCTCAGGAGCCAAAAAATCTTAGTGTGTTATAGGTGAAACCGCGTTATATTGAACTTGCTTTGATCCACCAGAGTGCGCAGCCCCCCCCCCCCCCGCATTATATCCAAATTCGTGTTATATCGGGTCGCGTTATATCAGGGTAGAGGTGTATATGATCTATTAACCATTATTATCTCTTCTTCTTTTCTTTTCTTATTAAACCTTTAGTTTTAGTTACTACAGGATTGGCATCAAGATGATTATTGGGTAAAATCCGAGTTATAGATTGACCCAGCTAAGTGGCTGATTCTCTTGGGATGAGAAGGACCCTACAATTGGATTAAATTGGTTTTCAGTAACCACGCACCATAAAGTCTAGTGCCTGGGTGGTGAGCCAGAAGTTTTACTTGTCTTACTGGCTTGCTGTAATCTCGTGACAGAATAACCACCGGTGGGGGGTGAGTCTGCTCTATTCTTCACCAGTTTGTCCTGAATTTGGCACGCTCCGCTGTGCCCCATTGAGGCCTGGTGACAGATTTCTGTTCCTCAGCCAGCTCGGAAAAGGGGTAAGCTGCATGGAGGTTAACCCCTTCTCACCGGGGTCTTGCGGCCTGGCACTCCTCAAACCAGCCCCCTCTCCCCCGATCAGGAATCCCGCTCTTTACCATCAGGTGCCCTTTGCACAGAGACGCTAAAGTCAAACTTCTTGCAGGCTGCCGCCCCCTCCGTCAGGGGCGTGTAATAAACCGTCATCACCTGGGAAAGAAAGGGGCGATGAGGGGAGGGATATTGACCAGGCTGCTCCGGCCTAGGGGGTCTACGGGGAGGGGTCTCAGGGAAAGCCAGGCTGTGGCAGGATTCCCAGGGCAGATAGAAACGACCAGACCTGAGAGAAGCTCGGGATGGGGGGAGAGAGGGATGGAACGAGGGACGCGGCCTCCCCAAATCATGTCATTGCCCGGCATCCCTGCTCAGATCCATCCAGCAGGGAGCAGCGCTGAGATGGGGGGTTGCTGCCCCCTCAGAACCAGGAGGACCCCTGCCAGCTGGGGAAATGGGCTTTCGTCCAGGAGCCCCCTAGGCCGATGGGAGGGTTCTCACGTACCGACAGAGTCCCTTTGCCGTGTCCCTTGGCCGAGATGGTGAAGCCATCGGTCAGCTTGGTCTGTGGGAGAGGGTAGGTTAGCGTCCACGTTGTCCGAGACACAAGTGGTTTGTTCCCGGGCAAGGCTGGGTTTCCCCACTTTCTGTAGGGGGAAGGCACTGCCCCCTGCCCATGGCACCCCCTCACCCTAGGGCCATCCCCCTCCCCGCTTCTTCACACATGGCCGATTTCCCACCCTCCCCATGGCCTCTCTCCAGGGTGACCATGCCATCCCCGCCCATGCAGGCGAGCCCCCTGCCATTCCACCGACCCCCCATGCCTGCGTCTGCTGCCATTCACCCTTGTGCCACCCTCACCCTTGCGGGGCACTCAGCCCAGTCCCCCCTCTCCACGCCCCTGGGACTTACTCGCTCCGTCCGGGCCACCATGGCATTGTCCCTGTTGATCCTCCAGACCAGCGGCCTGCTCCGACCCGGCAGGTTAATGGAAACGTCCAGGGCCATGTCCTTGGTTTCCGACACATCCATCTGGTACTGGGCCAGAGCCTGGAAGACCATGATCGTGGCCTGTCGCGAGGAAGGGGCGCGGGGGTTTAATACACAAGGACTCAGAGGAACGCCCAGCAAACCCGGCAGCAAGACCCCTGCAGCAGGGGCGGAGCGGGCGGATGGGGCGCAGGGAGGCTAGAAATTCAGTGGCAGCTCCAGGGAGGCCAGTGGAAACTGCAGCTTTGGGGAGATGGGCCCCAAGGAGGTGGATGGGGGTGTGGGTTCTACTCATCAGCTGGTGATTTGCGCTAAAAGAGGCTCATCAATGAAAGAGAGAAAATCTTACGCCACGGCCACAAAGGGGAACTGTGCTACTCCGCGGAGCGGTGACTAAGAGCAGGGAGGGGAGTTTTCCTCTGTATACGGCATTGGTGAGACTGAAACGCTGCGCCGGGGGCACTGGAATTGGGGGGGAGGGCAGGGGGCCATGGCCCCATCACTTTTTACCGGGCAAGCGACAGCAGGGAGGGGGCAGAGAGGAGTGAGTGGGGGGCGGGGTCTTGGGGGGAAGAGGCGGCACAGGAGTGGGGCCTTAGGGGAAGAGGCAGCGCAGGGGTGGGGCATCGGGGGAAGGGGCGGCACGGGGGGAGGCTGCGCCTAGTTCTGGTGTGTGCAACAAAGGACGTGGGAATATTGGAGCGGGTAGAAAAGAGCCACGAACATGATTTGAGGGGCTGTCATCATTAGGGACCAGAGTGAACGCATACTTCTGATGAGCCACAGCAAAAAAGGAGCAAATAATACTCCACCACCAGCATTAGCTCCTGAGGGTTCGAACACCGCAGTGGGCTAGCCAGGGGCCAACTCCTTTCTCCCACAGCCAAGTCAGACTGTCTGCAGACTCAGGCAGGCAGCGCTGCCTGGGTGACCCTTGGCTGGCAGCTTCCATAAAAGGCTAGAAGCTGAGATTCCGTGGCACGATTCTGTGACCCTGGGGCAGAATCTGGGGCTTCATGGGATCCGCTGGGCCCTGCTTGCGCATTGTGGGGTGAGACCTGACCCAAGGTGCAGGTGTTTCAGACACAGCCCAGCTCAATCTCACCAGACCAACCAACGTGTTCACTGAGCCGCTGGCAAGATTTTAACAAGAGGCTCCCACAGCAGCTGCCCCCTCGGTCTGTGATTAACCCAGGGCAGCCGGGCTGCGCTTCCCCCTTGGAACAAAGAACCCTCTGTCTGCTATGCAGAACAAAGGGCTGATAGCAAACCGCCTTGGCAAGGGGCTGTGGGAGGGGCTTTCCTAGGAACTGGGAGGGGCACAGCTAGCGCTGGAGGCTGGCAAGGAATGGGGGTGTGAGTCGAAGGCTATGGAAAGGGGATAATCCTGGGGCGGGGGCATAACCCCTCCTTGGGGAGGAGGCAAGGCTCTGGAGGGGGCAATATTGGGGGGCAAAGGCTCTGGAAGGGGGTAACATATTGCCTCATGGGGACTGGGGGTGGGGAGGAATACCAAAGGAGATGTATTCCCTCCTAGAGGCAGCGGTGGCAACGGGTCTGAGGGAGGTAATCCTGGGGGGGCAGGAGGAGGGGGTGTATCCTACTTCTGGGAGCTGGAAGGGGGAGGGAAGGCCCAACCCCCAGCAGCAGAGCAATGACCCACACCTCACATCAATCTGGCCATGGGGTTTCAGCAAGGAGCTCCCCAGAGGGGAGGGGAATGCTTTACAAAGGGGGGAAATCACTGTGCTTTTCAGAGGGGGAAACTGAGGCATGGAGAAGGAAAGGGGCATGTCCGAGGTTGTGGAGTAACACAGTGGAAAAGCTGGGAAGGATCCCAGGCCCCCTGCTCTAACACTGGAGCCCCTTCCCCTCCCAGAGCTGGGAAGGGAACCCAGGAATCCTGGCTCCAAGTCCTGTGCCCTATCCCCGGGGCCAGGCCACCCCAGTACATAAGCCTCCCTAGGATGTGGCATACTCTCCCCTGGGACAAATAGAAGCCCCATCCCAGGAGACGTCCCCAGAGATGGGATGATGCCCTAGACCTAGGCAATATGCTGCAGCCAGCGGCTGGGCTAGTTCAGCAGAACCAGCTGCCGGACGGCTCCTCACCTGCCATTTCTCATGTCACACGTGGGCCGCCTCCGGCCTGGGTCGGGGCTCTGCAGCCGTGACATTTACCTGGGTCGAGCCGTAGCCTCCTCCGTAGTACCGCTGCTCCGTCAGCCACCGGACAATGGGCCCCGTCAGCTCCAACCTCTGCTGCTTCAGCAAGGCCAGCAGGGCATAAGAGGTGGATTCGATGGAGTAGAGCCGGGACTGGGGGTCGGCCCAGTGTGTTCCCCCTGCGGAGCAGCGAGGGACCCACCCCGTCACCTCCACAGCCGGCAGCTAGCGCGGAATAGCCCGGTGTGACTGGGAGCGGGGAGGGGTATCGGGTGGGCCCGTTGTCCTGATTTTGGGGGCAGGGAGGCAGGATACCAGGTTGGATGGGCCCATTGGTGTGATCTGATGGTGTAGTTATGGGGGAGAGACACAAGGCAAGGTGGGGCTATTGGTCTGATCTGAGGTGCACAGGCGCTGACTCCATGGGTGCTGACTCCAGGACTGGAGCACCCCTGGAAAAAAAATGGGTGCTTAGCACCCACGAGCCACAGCTGTTCGGCGGCACCCCCGATCAGCTGATCGGAAGCGTTCCCGAACAGCTGATCGGGGGTGCCGCCAAACAGCTGTTTGGTGGCTGGGAGGGAGCAGAGAGCAGCATGCAGCTGGCGGGCGGGCGCCTTGGGGAGGGGGCGGAGCAGGGGCGGGAAGAGGCAGAGTGAGGGTGGGGCCTCAGGGGAAGGAGAGGGTGGGGGCAGGGCCTGGGGCAGAGCGGGGGTGAAGCACCCGGGGGAAAAGAAAAACTCAGCACCTATGCTGAGGTAGCAGGAGATACCAGGCCCATGGCTCTGACCCAATGCAGTGCTGGGGGAGATCTCAGCCCAGCTGGGCCCGTGGGTCTGATCCGCACAGCAAAGGAGAGGGGGGATACGAGGCTAGTCAGCCCAATGGCTTGTTCTGGCTCAGCGTCTCTCCTGCTGCCCGGCTGAGACACAGACATGGATTCTGGAGCCAGAGACTCGCTCACCCGTGGAAAGCGCCATGAGCCTCTCTCCTGCTTCGACGTGGCCCAGCAGCGCCAGCGCATAGGACGTGATGGCCACGGAGTAGGGTTTCTTCAGGTCTTTCACGCGCCTCGCCAAGTAATCTCCAGCCTTCGTGATGCTTCTGCCCAAGCTCTGGAAGGCACCGAGACCCCGGAGCCCACATTAGAGCCCAGAGGGGAGACAGCGTCAACTGGGGAAACTGAGGCACGGGGAGGGGAAGTCATATTTTCCAAGGTTAAATGGTGAATCTGCAGCAGAACTAGAAATAGAACCCAGGGGTCCTGACTCCCAACCCCCCTGCTCCAACTACCAGGCCCCACGAATCTTGACTCCCAGCCCCTTGTCCTGACTACTAGACCCCCACTCTCCTCCCAGATCATCCTGGGATAGAACCCAGGAGTCCTGTTGCCCCGTCTCTTCCCACCCCAGAGCTGGGAATAGACCCCAGGAGTCCTGACACCCAGTCCCCTGGTCGCTAGCCCCCAGTCCTACATTCTTGTCACTAGATGAAAAAATGCCACGTGCTAGACTCGGTGGCCTCGCGTGCTGCATGACTCACCTCCACATACCGCTGACAGACGTCTCTGGCCTCCACCATAGCGATGACAACGAAGGCCGTCAGAGAAGCATCCGGCTCTGAACCTTGATACCCTCCCTAGGGAGAGAGGAGCCAGAGGAAAGGCTGGGTTTCCGGAAGGCTCCGCATCCCATGCCCTGTGTGCCCCGTTCCCAGGTGCTGCCCGAACTCGGAACCCGGCTCCCGAGCTCCCAGGCTGCTGGAGCAAAGTGACACCAGCCCCAGATCCAGCCCCCCAGGGCGAGCAGCTCACCACCATCTCCCCGTGGATCACGGGGGCATCCTCCTGGAACGCCCCATCAGGCTTCTGCTTGTGCAGGATCAGCCACTTCACAGCCCCGCACAGCACCTCGGGGTCGATAGCGATCAGTTCGTAGGCCAGGGCAAAGACCTTCACCACGTAGGCCGTCAGCCTGCCAGGGAGGAAAGGCAGGGGTGAGCGGGGGAGGAGCAGCCAGCCGCCCCGACCCCGTATTAATGTGGGTCACTCTTTAAACGAAGGGTACATTTGTAACGGGTTAATATGCCCCGGAGACGAGTCGCAGCCATATCGATGGCTATCAGCCGGGTATAAGAGCTGGAGACTCGAACAATCTCTTAACCAGTTCACCGTTTGTTAATCTGAAGAGTGACCATAAACTGTCTTATGGTTGAACCTAGAGGCCCCCAACTGAGATGACATCCTACCCCCCCTCACTGTCATGCTGGGCACTGCCCGGGATCCCAACCAAGACTGGGCCCCCCAGCCACGTCATAATGGGCACACTGCACAGACCCCGACCGAGATGGGGGGCTTCATTGTTTCAGGCGGTGCCCAGACACCGACTGAGATCAGGGCCCGGTTGTGCCGGGCGCTGCGCAGACCCACAGCCAGCGGCAGTCCCTGCTCCAAAGGGCTCACAATCAAACCAGACAAAAGGAACGGCCTTTAACCCCATTTTACTGATGAGGAACCTGAGGGCCAGATCGACAAAGGGACTTGCCCACGGTCCCACACGGAGATGTCAGCAGAAGAGGCAGAATTGAACCCAGGTGTACTGGGTCCCACCCCCGTGACAAGGCCAGCAGCAGGAGACTTTAGCGGAGAGTCTCTGGAGTCAGATGTGTGTTAGGACAACAACTCAGCCCCAGTTCCCCCCAGGTTTCTGCCCCCCACGCTTTACCAGGTGCTCGCTGGTCTGTTTGTGAAGGCCGCGTAGGAGTTATCTGCTTTCCGGTAAGCCAGCTGTTGGGTGTACCCTGAAATCAAGAGATCAGAGATGGGGCCTGAGCTGCAGAAGTTAAGATCTGGATTCCCAGTTTGAGGTGCTGAGCCCAGCTGTAACATGCTCTGCTCCTGCAGCTGGGAATGGAACCCAGGAGTCCTGAGGCCCACCCCCGCACTGCTCTAGCCCACTAGTCCCCATTTCGACTCCCAGTCCCCACTGATACCACTAGACCCCTTTGTAGCTCTTTCATCTCATGATCTCCCGGGGCTCCTTGCTAGCCAAGGAAAGTACAGATTGCCACAGCATCTCCAGCCCCCAGGGATGAGGACCTAGCCACACGTACCCACATTCCCATCCCCTTTGGGTTAGACGCTGCATCTCAGTCTCCCTGACACTGAGCAATACTGCCACAAGGCGACGGCTGCTGGTGCAACGCGTGTCGTAAGCAGCACAGGCCAGGATGAGTGTGTTACCTTGGTGCTTCCCAGACAATGCCGAGACTCCCCTCGTGAAGGGGTGATCCCAGCTGGAGTGCAGGGTCTTGCTCCCAGCTGGCTCCCAGCCTCCTGGTGGAGGGGGCAGATTGTGGGCATGGCCAGAGCATGCTGCACTATGGTTAGTCCCTGATTCCCATACCAGAGTAAATCAGAGCAGCCCCAAGGCTGCTGTTGCTCACTCCAGGGGCCAGGAAAGGCCCTGCCCAGTCCTAGAACAGGGAGAGCACCAAGGGGGTTTAAAGCCCTGCCCACTCCGTCCCTGCCCCACGCACGGGAACTGGGAATCAGGCCCCTGCTTCTAATCCACCAGGTTCCTCAAGGGACTGGGACCCGGCTCCCTTACAGACCCCAGGCTCCCAGCCAGCTCCGCTCTACTCAGACAATTCAGCCAGGGCGGCTCAGTGCCCGGGGGCAGGACAGAGCAGCAAGAGCCCCGGCGCTATTGCTCAGTGCCCGGCCCAACTCCTCCCGCCACCCAGAGAGAGATTCACCCCGAGTGATGAACTTGACGGCCTCCGCCCTGCGATCCACCCCGAGCCTCTCCCATTGCCGGCTGCTGTCCAGGTAGTGGGTGGCGATGACAGCGGGGGTCATGCCGATCATGTTCTGTTCCCCGCAGCCCGCCGGGACCTGGATCAGGTGCTTCAAGTTGGCGCCGTCGATGGAGTTCTCCACCGTGTCGCCCACGATGTCCCCTGGGCAGGCCGGTGGGAGAGGGTGAGAGCTGGGCAGAGCCTGTCATACCAGGCCCTCCCCACCCCCTGCTACCCAGTCCTCACCCACCCAGGCCAACCTCTTCCCTCCTTTGTCCTGGTGGGCATCAAGCCCCACACCCACCCCTCAAAGCCAGCCCCCTTCTCAGCTGCTTCCCCCCCAATGCCCCCAGTCCCGCCCCCTCCTCCCATTACCCCCCAACACCAAGTCCAGGCCCCTCCCCACCTTGTTGGGCGCTGCACCCTCCAACCAGGAGTGCCAGAACAGGGGGCGCCATGGCCACATCACTTTTTACTGTTCGTAAGGGCGAGTGATGGGGAGGGGAAAGAGAGGAGCGAGCGGGCGGCGGGGTCTTGGGGGGAAGAGGGGGCGGGGCCTCGGGGGAAGGGGCAGTGTGGGAGGTGGGGGCATAGTTTGGATGCCAGTGGCCCCTAGGGTGACCAGATGTCCCGATTTTATAGGGACAGTCCCGATTTTTGGGTCTTTTTCTTATAGAGGCTCCTATTACCCCCCACCCCTGTCCCGATTTTTCACATTTGCTGTCTGGCCACCCTAGTGGCCCCCCAACTTTTAGGAGCATCTTAGGGTTGCCAACTTTCTAATCTCACAAAACCGAACACCCTAGCCCCGCCCCTTCCCCTAGGCCCCGCCCCTTCCCATGGCCCCGCCCCCACTCACTACATTCCCCCTCCCTCGGTGGCTCGCTCTCCCCCACCCTCACTCACTTTCACTGGGCTGGGGCAGGGAGTTGGGGTGCAGGATGGGGTGAGGGCTCCAGCTAGGGGTGCGGGCTCTGGGGTGGGGCTGGGGATGAGGGGTTTGGGGTGCAGGAGGGGACTCCAGGCTGGGGGGTGGGGCCAAGGGATTCGGAATGTAGGAGGGGGCTGTGGGTTGAGGCAGGGGGTTGGGGTGCGGGACGGGGTACGGGCTCTGGGCTGGGGATGCGGTGTCTGGTGTGGGGCCGGGATGAGGGGTTTGGGGTTCAGGAGGGGGCTCCAGGTTTGGGGGGCTTAGGGCTGGGGCAGGGGGATGAGGCTTGGGGTTGGGGCATGGGCTTACCTCGGGCGGCTCCCAGTCAGCGGTGCAGCGGGGCTAAAGCAGGCTCCCTGTCTGTCCTGGCACCACGCTGCATGTTCCCCGGAAGCAGCCAGTCGGTCTGGTATCTAGACGGGGGGGCCAGGAGGCTCCGCGCGCTGCTCTCACCCGCAGGCACCAACCCCCAGCTCCCATTGGCCGTGGTTCCCAGCCAATGGGAGTGTGGAGCCGTTGCTCAGGGTGGGCGCAGCGTGCAGAGCCCCATGGCCCCCCCGCCTAGGAGCCGGACCTGCTGGCTGTTTCCAGGGCACAGTGTGGTACCAGGACAGGTAGGGACTAGCCTGCCTTAGCCCCGCAACACCGCCAACCGGACTTTTAATGGCCCGGTTGGCAGTGCTGACCGGAGCCGCCAGGGACCCTTTTCAACCAGGTGTTCCAGTCGAAAACCGGATACCTGGTCACCCTAGAGCGTCTGCCGCTCCTGCCTCCTATCGCTCCTGGACTAATGAGACTGCCCGCCCTTGTAAAGCGCCTGGAGAGCTACTGATGAAAGCTAGGGCGTGTTCTCTCCCTAGCCACGCAGTGGGGGGATTCGAGGGCCGATCAGAAACAGCTTAAGTGCCCACAGCCGGGCGAAAAAGCCCTTGATCCTGGTGCTAACGGGTTAAAACGAGGTGGATGGGGACCTCTTGCTGCCATCTTCCCTACCCCACTACCAGCTCTCTCCTGCACCCATCTCTGCCTACCCCCCTTACCCTTCACGCTGACGAAGGTCACTGGCTCGGTGTTGGGGACCACATTACTCATGTCCACGGGCCCGATTGTCTCCAGCTGCTCCCCAGAGGCTGCAAGAAACACACAGATCACAGAGGGAAGCACCCCCGGAACGTATCAGTGTTGGCGTGGTGAGCAACTGAGACCAGAGCGTCTGGAGCAGCTCTTCTGGCCAGTTACCCAGAGCCCTGCAGTGTCCAAAGAAGGCTCCCAATTTAGGGCATTTTAGGAACAGAGGTTTATCTTCCCGTGTGCAATTTTGGGGCCTCCCACATTGCCATGAAACATACAAGCTGCTTGGGGTGGGGGCGGGGGGGGGGGCGTTTGGTTATGGGGGGAACCTTCAGAAACATCTCACCTCCTTAAATTGCTCTCCTTTCATTTGTATTTTGCCCCTAACACCCCTCATGCTAGCTGGGCTAGATCCCCAGAGGCACACTTGAGCTAAAGGATTAGCTCCATTAGCTGGCTGCAGTGGTAGGCTGTTATCAGTTGCCGCTCAGCCTCTAAAGGCAGCCATATCCCACTCAGCGCAGCACGGTGCCTTGTGACTCTGGGGGGTAGGTGGAACCAGCCCCATAAAGCCACCAGCTCCTCCTGACACGTTTGATAAGCAACCAAATCTCCGGGGAGGGGGGCGGCGGATTTCGAAGCAGAGCCTCGGTCCCAACCCTAACCCTACCTGAGCCGCGGGCAGTCGGATCCAGCAGCACGCTCTTGATGTTCTTAAAGATTTTCATGCCCTCAGGCTGCAGGAGAGAAAAGCCAGACAGGAGCGAAATGGCTCATTGAGGGGTGGGGGGCACACTGGGCGAGGTCTCTGCCTAACCCACCCCCTGATCATCCTTATACCAACCCCCAGCACTGGGAACATTTGAGCACCAGCCACTACAGAGCAATCGCAGAGAACTGACCCTGCAGGCTGGTGGCCATCTCCCAGCCACCCTCCCACACTGGCATCAGCTAGTAGGACCCCCAAGTCGATCCCCTACTGAGCTCCAGCGCCCCAGGGGCACAATGCCCCCTCCTCCCCCTAGTACCAGGGACAATTCCAAGGGGCACGCGCCCCCAGCTGAGCCAGCCACTTTGTTCATTACAGCGCAACTGCCCTTTGCACCATCCCCTACTGAGCTACCCCCACGTCTTCCCTGGAGGTCTCAGCTAACTTCTGAACAGGCCCATCCACGCTTAGCTTAAAAGCAGCAGAACTAGCCAGTCAGCTGATGCCTTGACCTGTAGCCAGCCGGCTCTGACACTTACCACCACCCTGAGCTTCTTCTTCACGCCGTCTGCGATGGGGAGCCCATGGACGGCTGCTCTCACCTCGATCTCCACCTCCCCCACCTCCAGGGGGATGATCACGTAGGAGACGGCGCGAGAGGCTCCGGCTTGGATCACCAGCTCCTGCTGGAACCGGCTGTCGCGCCTGCTGGAGCTGCAGATCTTCTCGTTGTACATCAGCTCCACCCGGATCTGCGAGCCACAAGCCAAGCAGCCTCGTTAACAGCCACACAAGGGGAAACCATCCTGTGGGTTCGGCTGGCACCGCTCCAGGAACCACCTAAGCCCTCAAAGTAAGGCTAAGTGCCTAGGCCTTGTGAGAACCAGAATCCAAAACCCCAGATCCAAATACCTGCACATTCTAGGGAAGTTCTGATCCAGATCCAAACTGCATGTCTGGCCCCGGTCTCCATTATGGGTCAGAACCAGAAGCCTGGATCCAAATACTCCACAAGCTATGGGAAAGTTCTGATCCAGATCCAAACTGCGTGTCTGGCTCCAGTCTCCACTGTGGATCAGAACCAGGACACTCCAGAAGTGGGGGTAGGTAGAGGAGAGTTCTGATCCACACTGCAAACTTGGTGGCTGGGGTCTCACCTCTAAGTGTCTTACCCTCCAGGCCCCCACTGTGTTCTTCACCCCAGTCTACCCCTCCACCCTCTGAAGCACCTGGCATTGGCCACTGCTGGAAGACGGGACACTGGGCTAGATGGACCTTTGGTCTGACCCCTGTGACCGTTCTTATGTTCACCTCAGTATGTCACTGGTAACCTCAGTCCAGGCAGTGATATTCTCCACAACAAATCTCGTTTTCATCCATAGCCGATTAACCATTCACCCTCCTCATGTAAAAACCTTGGCTCACTTCACAAGTGTATGTTAATTAACCCCCCCCTCCCGGAAGTGCGTAAATATAATTAGCCCCCTTTTATAGACAGAGAAACTGAGTCAGAGCCAGATGAAGCAAGCTGTTCACGATGAGAACCCAGCTGCCCTAATTCCCAGCACCAACCACTAGATCACGCTCCAGCCCACCTTTAGCAACAGAACCCACAAGTCCTGGGCTCCTCTTTGCTAATGGTTACACTGCTCTCACTTCTTCAAGATAGGAATAGATCCCAGGAGTCCTGACTCCCACCCTCCCCTGCTCTAACCACTAGACACCACTCCCCTCCCAAAGCTGGGACCAGAACCCAGGCGTAATAACTCCCACCCTCCCCTGCTCTAACCACTAGACACCACTCCCGTTACCAACAGGCATCTTCCACCCATCCGCCAGGGCCGGGCTGATCTCTACTCGCCTGGAGAGCCCGGGGGGCGTAGTTGTACAGCACGGCCCGGATGGCCACCTGCTCGTTCCGCACCACGGAGTAGGGCAGCCGGAGATCAATGAAGAACTGCTTCATCACCGTTATTTCATAAGGGTCGGCCACGCAGATCCCTGCAATGGGAAGGGAGTCCAGTCAAAGCCCACCCCTCCTCGGCAGCGGGCACCTTCCACAGCCTCCTCTACATGTATCACCCGCAGCGAGGGTCCGGGAGCTCTGCGTATATGAGGATCACACCACCGAAGTGCAGCCACCTCTGGGGTGGAATAGGGCTGTCCTCCCCCGCTGGGGGCGTGCTCAGCTCTGGGTGTGTATGATGTTGCCATCTAATGGGTAGGCCCAAAGAGGAGATGCTACTGGTTCGAGCCCTGCAACCCGACCCAAACCCAGCTACAAGTGTCAGGTCCAGGTTGGGTTAGGTGGGAAAACATCCAGACCCTCCCAGGGTGGGCTCGGGTCGGCTCCCCCTCTCCTGTCCATGGCGACGCGAGCCAGCCACCACCCCCTCCCTGTGCTGCGGAGTGAGCGCCCTGAGGAGTCACAGGGCCTCTGGCTGCACAGGACACACACACAGTGCAGCAGGGCGTGGCGGCCGGCAGGAGCAGCGCTCCGGGCTGCTGTCGCTCAGAGCTGCCGCCACACCAACCCCCTGGGCAGGAGGCAACGGTGCTGAGTCGGGCTCGGGTTGGAAAACCGCTCGACCCGCTCGGGCTTGGCTCCAGTTCGGGTCTGGGTTGGGCCTACAATTTAGGCCTGACCAGCCCGCAGCACCTCCTACCAAGAAAGGGAATTTCTGTTTGCTCCAGGGGCAGCATTCTGTCTTTGCAGTAGCAGGTTCTAGCCCCGGCTCCCCAAGCATCTGGCCTCATAGCAAAGGGAATCTGGGTGTTATAAATCACAAGATGCTCCACAGGATTAACTCTGTTTCAGAGAGAGGGAAACTGAGGCACAGAACAAGGGACTGATGACGTGCAGGAGTCGGACGGCATGTCAATGTCCGAGCTGGGAATAAAAGCCAGGAGTCCTGAGGCCCAGTCTGCTGTAACCACTAGCCCTCACTCCCCTCCCAGAGCTGGGGACCGAGACCAGCTGTCTTGGCTGCCAACCTGCTCTAGCCACTAGCCACTACTCCCTCCCAAAGGCAGGAGACCTGACTCCCAGTCCCGTGCTTTAGCCACATGCCCGTCCTTCCCCGCTTGGCCACGTCACCAGTCCAAGGTGGACACACGGCTCCCACTCTTACCCCTTGTGTCGGAGAGGCTCACGGCCAGCACCTCCCAGGTGGTGATGGAGTCCTCCAGGTACACCGGCACCGTTCTGGAAGCCAGCCTGGAAGAGACGGGAGCGGAATTGATCAGGTTGGGGGACCCTTCTGGCTGCTGAGAGAAGACCCCCCCGTGGAACAGACCTGGGTCCGAGTGCGAGTGGAGGCAGGGCATGGGGAGGGGCCAGACTGGGAGAGGAAAGGGGAGGGGCCAGACTGGGAGAGGAAAGGGGCGGAGCCAGAGAACACCAGTGCTCTGGGTATCTGGTGCCCCTGCAAAGCCCCGGAGGGGGGCCACGTGGAATACGGGAAGCCCAGCCTGCGCCAGGATGAATCTGCCCCTCAGTGGTTCTCCTTCGCCCTCGAGTGGGGTGACCTGTACCCGTCCAGATCGGCCTCCTGTGGCAGCAGCTCCATTTGCCAGAGCCAGCTCTCGGCAAACTGGCTCCTGGAGACGATGTCCTCGTCCGCCAGGTACTCCCCGTCCTCTGCGACTTCATCCGTAGGCTCCTGGCTCCTCCTGGGGGCCATCGGATAAACGGCTGCTGCTGAGGGGGAGCGAAACAGGGGGTCAGCCCTGCCCTGAGCCAGGGCGAGCCCAATGATGGGTGGGAATGCCTGTGTTTCCCTGGGAGCTACAGGGCCCGCATGCCTGGTGGGTTACAACCAGGCTAATATAATAGGCCCGACCGGGGGTTTGAACCCTGGACCAACGGTGCTAAAAATGTGAGCTTTGACCCCTGGTGCTAATATTCTGTGACAGCAAGTCCCTTAGGCTGCTGTTTGAGCCCGTTAGCTGGTGGACACAGCAGCCTCAACCTTCTTACAAGGACCTGCCCCTGGAGCCCAGCTCTCCTAGTGCAGGTGACACTAATCACTGGTGCAACCCATTTCCCCTAGTGCAGACGGCGTCTTACCTAACAGGAACTTTCTGTGGAACTTGAGGAGCCTCTCGTAGATGTGCTTGCAGCAGTCGAGAAAGGCTTGGACGCACTCGCCGCCTCCAGGACGAACTTGGCTCGTCGGTCGCAGGAGTAGCCCATGGGGTTCTCTTGCATGCCGTCCTGGCAGCACTTCCGCAGGCGCTGGCTCGGATACTGCCTCGCTGCGGGAAAGCAGGGCCCCCTCAGCGCCCGGCACGGGCGTGAGAGAGGGCACGTGCGAGAGCAGCAGCGTGAAGGGGGCACGCGCAAAGGGCGCGAGAGTGCGTGCAAGCAGAGGGCGTGCAAGTGCGTGCAAGCAGAGGGCATGCAAGTTCGTGCTAGCAGAGGGTGAGAGAATGCGTGCAAGCAGAGGGTGTGCAAATGCATACAAGCAGAGGGCGCGAGAGTGCGTGCAAGCAGAGGGCGCGCGAGAGT